ATTATACCTTTTGGGATTACATAGATTGACATCAAGAACACGGGCAAACTTGACAGTACTAAATTGATGAGCGTGATGCGACCTCCCATAGATAGATGTCTCCCCTACCAGGTAGCTAATTTCCTTTTAACGGACTCCACCAATGGCTGCCACATAGCTATTCTTCTTTGATTGCCACCAATTGGGATTCCTAAGTACTTAAATGGCAACTCCCCTTCTTTGCAGCACAATCTATATGCCACTTTAGCACTCCAATTTTTTTGTACTCCCACTCCCATTAATTGGCTTTTTTTGAAGTTTATCTTCAGCCCTAAAGCCAGCTCAAAAGTCCTCATAATGCATTTGATCACCCAGATATTATCATCTGTTGCCTCCCTGAAAAAAATGGTGTCATTCACGAATTGTAGGTGTGTGACCATAACATCTCCACTGCCAATTGTCACTCCTTTATACCACTCCTTCTCCACTGCCGATGACACTAGTCCATTCAACTCCTCCGCAACAATCAAGAATAAAAATGGGGATAATGGATCACTTTGTTGGATGCCTTTATTAACCGGGAATTGTTTCGTCGAGCTGCCATTAATGAGAACAGAGATCGAGCTCGATTTTAGACACTCCTGTATCCATTTTCTCCAAGTTACATTAAACCCCATCCTCAACATCATGTACTCAATGAACTCCCAGCATACCTTATCATAAGCTTTCTCAAAGTCGACTTTAAATAGAAAGCTCTTCATCTTCTTCCTTTTGACTTCATCGATAACCTCATTTGCAATCACTACTCCCTTTGCTAATTGTCTTCCTTCAATAAAAGTCATCTGCTGTTCTTCGATCACCTTGGGTAACACCTTTCGCAATCAGTTTGCTAGTAATTTTGCAATGATTTTGTACATAATTCCTATGAGCGAGATGGATCTATATTCCTCAATTCCTTGGGGATTTTCTGTCTTTGGGATTAACATAATGAAAGAAGCATTTGACCCTCTGACCAGCCTACCATGTTCTTGGAATTCTTGTACAAAGTTGAGTACATTAGATTTTATGACCTCCCACATCATCTTTATGAATCTGAAATTGAATCCATCATGCCTTGGAGATTTGGATGAGTCACAATTCCATGTTGCTTCTTTAATTTCCTATTCCGAGAAAGCTGCTGTGAGGAGCTCATTATCAGTTTGTGATATTTGCTTAAAGCTTATCCCATCTAACTTTGGTCTCTTCCAAGTTTCTTCTGTAAACAAATCTTGGAAGTACTTAGCAGTCTCTTGCTTTATTGTCTCCACTCTTGTAAGTTGCTCCCCATTGATCCGGATGCTAATTACTTCGTTTCTTCTCCACCTTCCCTTCACACATCTATGGAAAAATTTTGTGTTGGCGTCGCCTTCTTTTAACCATAGCTTCCTTGATTTTTGTTGCCACATCCTCTCCTTGATTCTTAGATTCTTCCACAAATCAATAAAACAATTTCTCCTCATTTCAATATCACTAGCCGACAGTTGGTTCTGCTCTCCTTTCTCATCAATTGTAGCAATTGCATCTTCAACTTCCTTTGTTTTGATATTCAACTCCATATTCATATTACTACTCCACTCCTTTAATGCAAGTTTTGTTTGTTTCAGCTTTTCCTTGAGCTTAAATCCACTCCACCCTTTCACTTCACTATTATTCCACACATTCGTGATCATCTCCTTGCATCTTGGATGTTCAAGCCAAGCATCATAAAATTTGAATGGTTTTGGACCCCAATCAACCAACTCATTTTTCAGCATAATTAGGCAGTGATCCGATACTGACCTCTTCAATCCCCACTATTTCACATCGCTTTATTTTGCCATCCATTCTTCTGATAATAAAAATCTATCAATCCTGCTCATGTATTGGCCATTTGAGTTATACCAAGTGTATTGCCTCCCCACTAGAGGCAAGTCAATCAATTCAGTATTATGGATAAAAGCATCAAATTCCCTTATTTTGTTGGATGTCATCTTACACCCTGCTCGTTCATTAGCTCTTCTCACAGCATTAAAATCCCCTGTTAAACACCACTTCCCTTTCCTATTATTACTTAATCCCTGCAGCTCCTCCCACAAGGCTCTTTTATTTGTGATTTGGCACGGGGAGTATATCTTTACTATGTATACAGGTGGCTCCTCCCTTCCCCACAATCGATACACCCCAATAAAATTATCACCCTCTATAGTCTCCTTCCTCTTCAGTATTTTAGGATCCATACACAGAGCAATCCACCATATTTGCCAATAGAAGCCTTTGCAACCCAATCCAAATCCTCTGTCCCCCATAAGCTTCTACAAGTTTTTCTATCAACAAGTTCCATCTTAGTCTCTTGTACTGCTAAAAACTGTATTTTTTCTTTCATAACTAAATTCCTGATCTATTTTTTCTTCCCTACCCTTCCAAGACCCCTAATATTAAATGACAGAAATATCATTGGGATCTTTACATACCTTCCTATTATCTTCATCTTCTTGGGTCATTATAGTTGTTTTTGCTCGTCTATCTCTATCCTCCATCTCCTCAATTCTCTGAATCACCTCATTGTCGTCTTATGCTACTGCTCCGAGCTACCTCGCCAAATCCCATATCTCATTCGCCAGCTGAGCTTACCGTTGTTTTTTTAGAAATTTGTTGCAGTTATGTATGTCATTGTCTCCTATTGAGTCTTTAGTGATTTTTCCATTCGCATTTAGCATGAAAGTTGGTGTTGGCTGTCCCTCCCTCTGTTGTGTGCTCTGCTTCCTTTTTTCTCTTCTTTTTTTCGTCGCTGCGTCCCCAGAATCAGGTCCGTGGTACATTGAGCTGCAACGTCTAACCCTCCTTCTTCCCATTTTTGATTTAATTTCCCCTATTTGGTTGCCGATCCATTCTTCTATGCGTCCCCTTTCAGCTTCATGGCCCTTCCAAAACATGTCTTCATCTTCTTCTTCATTACATCCTTCTATTCTTTCTCCATTTTTGAAATTGCCCCTTATTTTGTTTATATTCAGTTTCTCCTTTGGTCTTTTTGCATGGGTCCAAGCCAAATTTGTAGACTTCTCTCCCGTTGGGCTTTCCTTTTGCAAAGTGGGCTCTTTCACCGGTTGCTTATTAGGCTTCATCATGTGATCCAATTCCCTTGTGTCATCTTCTATACTCTTTGTAGCTGAGTCCTGCACCTCCTGCCTCTTTGATTCCCCGCCTGTCCTTGTACTACCATCAGCTAAATTCAAATTTTGAATTTTTTCCATGTTGTCTCCTCCCATTTCTACTTGCTCTCCTACTTCCCCACAAACTTGTACTGAATGTCTTCTTTCTTTCTCTTTCATACGTACAAATACATCATCATCTTCTACCCTTGGAACCCTGATCTGAACATCCTCCTTCTTCCATCCATTTTCTGAGGCTTGCATCTCTGAATCACTTCCAGTAGACCATGTTTCACAGTCCTCTGACTCACTATTAAAAGATGGCATTAAATCTTCCTTCAGAGAAAAAAAGCTGTTGGTAAATTCTTCCTCTGTAAATTTCACTCTGTAAATATCTCCATTAATTTTGATTTGCCTTGTGACTGTGATTGTCTCCATGATTGGAGTGGAGATCAGAAATCTTGCAGTGTCAAACCTTTTCTTTTTGCTTGTGCTATCATCCAAGCAAATAAACTTTCCACATGAGCAGCCCATGGTTGAAAAGAAATTAGCTCCCCAGGCATTCAGTGGTACCCCTTAACACCTTATCCATACAAATCTCTCGTTTGCAATCATTTTTGGTGTCCATGGTTGCACCTCCGCAAACCATTGCCTTAGCCAATCTGATGCCATTTCAACCAAGTCCTTCAATTCCTCTTTATCTTCACCTGATAACAGAACCATTTTGCCTCCCATTGCCCGAATTTGACAAGAAAAATACCCTTCCATATAAAATTTTTCTTGCAAATTACATACCATCACCACGGAGTGCACTGTTCTGACATAACAGCCATCAAGCCATTCATACTCATCAAGTTTGACATTATACTCCATGCCTACCCAATTTTCTCCCATTCCTCTTTCTTTCCATACTCCCCTGGTTACCGGTTGCTAGTATCCACGTCTATTTTTACCTCTAAATCTCTCATATTCATCATGCTTTGTACACTTTTTATCTTCAATGTCGAGTCTTTGATGTCTACTTCGGCCAACCTCACTCTGTTTGCTCTGTTCCTCATCAGCATTACTTCCTTGTATTCCTTTCACCTCCTCTGTGTAGCTTTTGCTTTGGACCACTGTCATTGTTCCTCTACTGCTTTTTTTCTCCCATACTTCCTTCTTCTCCTCATCATACCTTGGTCTATTCACCCATAGCTTCCACCCTTCTGCCCAGATCTGATCCAGCTTTCTTTCCAATTCCTTCTTATCTATCACACCCAGGAATCTCACGAAGCCGAATCTGCTCCCATTCTTGCTCTTTCTGTTTGGTGCATAGATGTCATAGACCCTGCCATATCTTAGGAACGTTCTCCACATCTCATCATAGCTCCAATCATCACGATAATTGGTGAAGAAGTATGGTGTGGCTTATTTGTATAGGCCCCAATTATATGGCCCGTCTTTCTACGTTTTCCGACCCTGGTGCTGATTAAACTGCAATTTCCCCACATCCACTTGCTACCTGTTCCTTTGATAGTTGTTGCGACGAGATCCATCATGCTCCCAGTTCAGTGCCAACTGTCTTGCTCGTGACCGATGTCCGCCATGATCCCTTCTCACTAACTCTCTCTCTCATCTCTCACGTGATTCCTTTTGTTATTGGGTCTACTGTTCTACTACCATATGCTAATCCGTACAACTTTCTTAACAGTAATTTGATTCATATGTCCCGTCAAATGAAAATATTCAATCATAATGTATAAAAGCATGTTTGGTGAAGTCTGTAATAATTTCAGCTTTTTGCTAGTATTCATTTTTCATAAATTTAAATTTTTTTATTAAAAACTTATATTTTTTAATTTTTTTTAATTTTAAAAAGACCTTAAACAGCAAATTTTGAAAAATTTCAAATTTATGCTTTTTATAAATTTCCTTTTTACTAACTTCTTATTTATTTTTTTCTATTTCTAAAAGCAACTTTAAAATTTTTCCTCTAATAAAAATTTAAACTTATCATTTACAAACAATACAAAAAATAAAAAATAAAAACTCTTATAAGTTTTACCAAACATATTCTAAATAACATTTTTCCAATAACAATTGTAAAATTGGTATACTTGTTAATTTGATGTGAGACGTGGCTTTTCTTTTTTTCTTTTAAGAATTTAATTGACAACTCACTCTTATAAGTAATATTTTTTAAAAAAATTAACTATTAAATTACATATTTTATTGATGTAAAACATATATATCAATTTTAAAATTAATTTAACATTTATTATTAACATGTTCATTAAAAAACTCTATTTATTTATATAAATTTAATAATGTTAAATTTTATATGATCAACAAAACTAATTAGATCTATTAAATTAATATAAAAATCAAAATACATATTTTGCAAAAATAGAATTATAATTTCAATCTAATAATTGATTTCAAAATTATTAATTAGAATATGATAATTTTGAAAATATCCTTAAAAAAAATATCATGTAAAACTTTTTTTCCGTTTAATATATCCTTTGATTTAAGTATTCTACATTCTAAACTGTAAATAATAAGGAAGCCCTTGAAAATAGGTACAGGCCTGTCGTTCAATCATTAATAATTTAAAATTCCAATTGCAAGACTCCCTACTGTTATCCTTATCCAACATTTGTACCGGAAGCATCTGTTCAGGCATCCTAATCTCATACCTAAAGTTCCTTCCTAGCTAGCTAGAATCACCAGAACTAGTGTGCAAATTGAATTAAATAAAGTTAAGAAGTTTGAAAAATTAAAATACAGTAAGACACGAGAAGTTTGAAAAATCTTTATTTAAAGAAATAAAAATTAATAACGAAATTAAAACTTTTTTTCTTTTAGTGGGATAAATAAAATGAATAAGAGTAAGTACCAGTTATTATAAGAGTCCAAGTTAATGGTATGCCATTTTTTTTTTTTTTCTGTTTTTATAGAGAAAAGGAAATAAAAGTATAACTGGCTTGTTAAAAACTTAAGGGTTTCACTAACATATGTTTTGAGTGTAATAGATGTATTTTTTGTAATTGATTTATTTTTTTGATCTTTTTTAATTATCTTAGTTTCATAATTTTATATAAATTAACTTGATAACTTTATACTATAAATGAATAATAATTGATATTTTTTTTATATAAATAAAAATACGCAACAAAAACTTACTTATGAAAAGGAAAAAATTTTAATTGTTATTTATTTATTTTATACAATTACTTAATCAAATTTTATTTAAAAATTAAATTAAGAAAACTAAATCTCATCAAAGGAAGCATATAAAAAAATTATTTCTATAAAAATTGACTTTTATTTTAAGGTTACTTACGCATAAATAATTTTAATTAATTAATTAAATTAAACTAAAATTACAGTAATATTTATATATTTTATATAAATTAACTGTAAAATAGTAGATTAATTA